GGCCCGGCTGGCATCCTGGCAAGCGGCACAGCGGCCCGGCGGCGGTACCGCCACGGTGCTGACGTAGATGTCACGGTGGTTCTCGTCGCTCATCATCATCATGTTCATGAGCATCCCGTTGGCCGAGCGGGTGCTGGGGGCCAGCATACCCTCAGCTGCCGGGTCGGCGCCTGGGGGGCCCCCACTGCACACCCCCTGCCCCAACCAGCCATGGCTCCCCCAGGAGCCGGGTCTCACTTGAAGCCAAAGACGATGACCTTAGAGGCGTCGCTGGGCCACTCGCATACGGTCAGGTACAGGTCGCTGTAGATCTCCTCATCCTGGAAGAGCCGAACCTGCCGGACCTGCGAGGCACGTTCAGGGTCAGCACCGGGTCAGGGAACCTGCAGGGGTCCCCCAAAGCTGTACGATGCAGTCCCTCATCAGGGCTGGGGCTGAGCAGGAAGGAGCACCCCAACAGCCCGCACCACACCCCTCCACCTTGCCTGAGGACAGCCTGAGGAGGCTCCTTTCACCAGTGGGGGAGACGGGGGAGACCAGGCCAGGGTGGATGCAGCTGATGGGAACAATGTCCCGGAGGAGGCTGCGCCAGGCACTGGTTCCAAGCCCAGCCCACCCTGAAGCCCATTCAGCTCTCTGAGTTCACATGTATGCTGAGGTAACAGTACCCACCTCCTGCCGGGGTCCCAGGAGTCAAGGGTCAAGGCTAAAGCCAGGGTGGCTTAGTCCTAATAAAGCTAAATGGCCTGAGCCAACATGTTCTATAGCTTCATAGAGTGTGTTGGACCAACGGAATTGCCACCATTTACCCCATTTTGAAACATAAGAATGGTAATTTCATTTTCTTTTGTGAGACAGAGTCTCGCTCTGCAGGCTGGAGTGCAGTGGCTCGATCTCAGCTCACTGCAACCTCTGCCTCCCGGGTTCTAAGCGATTCTCCTGCCTCAGCCTCCAGAGTAGCTGGGATTACAGACATGCACCACCAATGCCCGGCTAATTTTGCATTTTTAGTAGAGATGGGGTTTCACCATGTTGGCCAGGCTGGTCTTGAACTCCCGACCTCAGGTGATCCACTCACCTCGGCCTCCCAAAGTGTTGGGATTACAGGTGTGAGCCACTGCGCCTAGCCTTCGTTTTTTTTTTGTTTTGTTTTGTTTTAGAGACAGGGCCTTACTCTGTTGCCCAGGCTGGAGTGCAATGGTGTGATCATGGCTCACTACAGCCTCAAACTCCTGGGCTCAAGTGATCCTCCTGCCTCAACCTCCAAAGGAGCTGACTATAGGCACATGCCAATATGCCCAGCTAATTTTTTTTTATTTTTAGTAGAGATGGGGTTTTGCCCTGTTGCCCAGCCTGGTCTTGAACTCCTGGGATCAAGTAATCCTCCCACCTTGGCCTCCCAAAGTACTGGGAGTACAGGCGTGAGTTACCACGTCAGGCCCTGGTAATTTCATATGGTTGGATCTAACACACAGAATATCGACGATGACCCCATGAGTACATGATCATTTTACATCCAAGGAACCTGAGGCTCAGAGGCTGCTGTGACCTGCTGAGCCACACCATCTGAAGGGCCAGCCTGGTGCTGAAGCCTCCCTACCAGCTTGAGCTTGCTGTGGACGTTGAACTCCCACCAGTACAGATGGTAGATGTAGAAGGAGAAGTCGTCATCCCCACTGCTGCTGGTATAGGAGAGGACGTAGCGGCCGCATTTGGAAAAGCCCAGGAAGATATGTCTGTGGGGGTGGAGGGGGCACAGCGGCCAGGTCAGGGCGAGCCCACCACCCCCGCCCAGCTGCCCCCTTTGCCTGGGCCCAGCCTCACCCTGCATAGAGAAAGTCTTCATCCACGATGTTCTTGAGGGACACGCAGACCCGGGGAGGCAGCTTCCGGAAGAGGCGAGGGGAGAGCTGTCCGCTGATCTGGGGAAGGGGTGGTCAGGGCACTTCAGGCACCATCTGCAGCCCCCAGCCCCTCACCCACAGCAGAGAGGCAGGGCAGCTCTCACCGGGTCCAGCCCGGCCCAGCCCACCATAATGGTCTAAAGGAGACCAAGCTCTGGAAGGTGGGAACAACTGAGGCAGATGGGGACAGTAAAGCCAGGTGGACCTCGCTTGAGCCTTCATCTCCACCAGGGACCCACGCCACCTTCCCAGTTCCACACCTCTTCAGCCTCAGGTCCCTCTTGACTGAGCCCAGCATCACTGCCCCCAAGAAAGCTCCCCAATCACCATGTCCCACGCTGGGCCACCTGCTTCCCTCCCTGAAGGTTGTCCCTAAACTGTGGGTATTCATCCTACTAAGGAGGCTGAGACAGGGTCCTGACATGCACCCATCTGTCCCCAACCCACCAGCCTTCAAACGAGGGGGCTTCTCCTCCCTGGGTCAGCTATGGCCTCTGCTGGGGGCCAGTCAAGGCAGATAGAAGGGTGAGCCTAACCAAAGACCCAACTCCCCCTTCCCAATTAACTACCACCTTCCAATGGAATCCCTCATCCCCAAAACTTCACCACGGAAGGATATGTGGGAACTGACAGGCACAAGCCAGGCACAGGGACATCAGAGCAGCCTCACTCTTGCTACCCAGGCTGACTGGGTAGACACAGCTCTGCCTTCAAGACATTCCAACCTGATGGGACGAGTCCTGTCTGGGAAGCTCCCTGTCTGATGGGAGACAAGCCCTGTCCACAGGGAGGTCTCAGTCTGATGGAGGAAACAGCCCGGCCAGCCAGGCCCAGGCCGACAGGGGAGACACAATCCCTGCCCAAGGAGCTTCCAAGCTAAGGGCGGAACCACAGCCAAGGCCAGGGAGCTCCCAGGCTAAGGGCGGAGACTGTCCCAGCCCAGGGAGCTCCCAGTCAAAAGGGGGAGACACAGTACTGTCTTTAGAAAGCTATCAGCCTCACGGAGAAGGTGCAGTCCCTGTTCACAGAGACACAGCCTTGCCCCAGTTACTGCCCACCTGCAAGAGATCCCCATTTCTGCCCTCCAGAGCTCCCAAACTGATGGGGGAGAGAGACATCATCCCCCAGCTCTGGGAGTTTCCAGTCTGATGGAGGAGACAGAGCCTGCTTCGGTAACTTTCACTCTCCTATCCAAGGAGCTCCCACACTTTCAATGGGGAGGCCCACCCAGGTACAGGAACTCCCAGCTCAAGTGTGGTCGAGGCTCGGGCAGGGAGAGGAATATCAGGCAGTGGAAGCCCAAAGCCAGCGGCAGGGGCTCTGCAAAGGGGGCGGGAAGGTTCCATTACGGAGGGGCCATGGGAGCAGGGCTTTGAAAAATGGATCTGAACCTGGATCGCCCCCTTCCTCCTGATACTCCCTGCGGCCTCGGAGGAGGGGTCGCCTCCCTCCGAGCCCCCTCCTTGGGGCCCCGCCCCCAAACCCCTCCATCCCAGCCCCTTTGCCGGTTACCCGACACAACCTCCTGCATCCAGGCCCCCGACTGAGCCTCCTCCATCCAAGCCATCTCCCCCGGGCCCCGCCCAGGCCCTTCATCCGAGCCCCCTCCCCTGGG